AAGGCCGCGATGCAGCTCGCACGCCGGGCGCAGGCCTGGAACCCATTTCGTCGTCGCCTCGTTCTCTCAGGACTTAGGATACCAAAAGAGGGGACACCCACCGATGCCCTCCCCACCACCAGCTCACCCGAGGGCATTTTCGGAGGTCTTCAGAAGTTCTGGCAGCCCATCTTCTCGAGCAAGTTCGTGGACCCCAACGCGGTCCAGTCGTACTTGGCCCAGCACCTCCCCGTCTTCGATTGCGCGGACCTGCGGGTTCCAGCTCTTCAGGACTTTCAGAGAGCCCTACGTAAGGTACGTCACACTGCCCCAGGCCCTGACCAGATACCTTATGCTGCATGGGTTACCTCTCCAGGCTCCTCTCAGATCTTATATGACCTCATGACGCAGATGTTCGAAACAGGCCTGGTCCCGTTTCAGTTCAACGATTCCGTCTTCGCGTTTCTTCCAAAAGGTGATGAGCCCCAGGACCAATACGCCGTATTTCGAGCTCCAGGTGCCACTCGCCCCCTCTCCCTAAAGAACTGCGACGCCAAACTGATTGCCCACGTCGTGAACATGGGCTTAGTGGATATGGTCAAAGAGAGAACGGTAGACACGCAGCAGGGGTTTGTAAAGGGCCGTAATTTCGGACAACACGTTCTGACGCTAGATTCTGCAGCCCGTAGAGCAGGCCATTCCCCAGCTGCCCTAGATGCCCTTCCCATCTGAGTCAGTTTCGATATCAAAGCTGCCGTCCCATCCTTAGGATGGGAATTCCTGTTTGCTTCTTTGGTGGCTCACGGAGTCCCCCCAGGGTATCTCAATGTCATTCGTGCGCTTTACCATTCTCCAGGGGCGTGGGCCCGCGTCGGTGGCCAGCTTCAGTACATGTTCGAAATCGGCTCTGGGGTGCTTCAGGGCTGTCCTCTTTCAGGATCGATCTGGGCCCTTGCGTTTGATGCCCCCATCCGTCATCTCGTCCAGATTTTAAACCTTCTTCCTGGATCTAACAAGCTCGGTGCCTGCGCAGATGGTCTGGGCCTTGTCCTCGCTCGCCTTGGGACCCTCCCTTTCCTCCTTCCCCCTTTTCGGGCCATTGCCACTCTCGCAGGACTCGAACTTCAGATTCAGAAGACAGTGATTGTGCCCTTATGGGCCGCCTTCTCACCTGCCGTGCAATCTCTCACTCAGCGCTTGCTCAAATTTCTAGTCCCAGGGTGGCAACACATTCAGATCGCCGAGTACGCCCGCTATTTAGGGGTACTCATCGGTCCCGCCGTCACTTTGGACATCCAGTGGAAGGCCGCATTTGATAAATACTGGCCACGGGTGGCGCAGCCTGCGGCGAGCGCGCCAGGCCCCTCAGTTGCCATCAGATTATATAACACATGTGTTATAACTGTGCTATCGTATCTCACGCAATACTTCCCGTTCCCTGCCACGTTTCCGCGGCATGAACGCAGCACGCTACACAAGATTTTACGTGCACCCCCCAACTCCTGGCGCCTCGTGGACCTCCTCGGCACTCGCTCGCGGTCGCCCTCGTCCTCCCCCAACTCACTGGTCACGCTTTCACTCGCAGCTGCCTGGCGCACTGCCACTGCCACGCTTCCCGACTGGAAGCCGCTGTATCGCGCGCTCGTCCTGGCCCAGGACCAGCTCAATCCAGAACTGTCCCTGGCGGATTTGGGGCAGGCCCGTATTCGGGCCACGGTTTCGCCTGTGTTTTGGAAGAGTCCAGGTATCGTCGAATACTGGCGCGACCTCGCCGACGGTCAGCCGCCATACGCCGTCTCATTGCCCATCTGGCGCGCGGCACAGCGCGCCGCTGCAGATGAGCACGCCGCTGCCACCAACGAAGCGCGCCGTTCTAGGGTCCAGCGAACCCTTGCTTCGGTCCTCCACTCCTCCCTCTACCCCGACAAGTTCGCAGAGACCCTAGCGCGCCGCCTCTCGTCGGCTCTCCCAGAAGTCGTGCTCCCTCCAGCCCTGCCAACCCGCTGGAAGGAGCTTTCAGAATACCTTTCAAAGAAAGCACCAGCCATCCGCTGGGCTGTCTTTAAAACGCTAGCGGGAGCGTGGTGGACCAGCCACCGATTCCCATTTGGACCGCGCCGCACGTGTCTGCTCGGGTGCGAAGCTTGCCCAGACCGTCTCGGCCACTACCTCACCTGTCCCCGCCTTCTGCACTTCCTCGCGTTACCCCGTTCCTTTCTCTCCTCGGACCCCCTCGTGCGAATTGGCCTAGGGACGTCAGCGCAACACGCAAACCCAGAGCACACAGTTTCAGAAGCTGTTCGCAGGACAGCGCTTTCATATCACTTTTACAACAAACTGCGTATCATTACGCACGCCGCGCCCCGCGCCGCGCTTCTTTACACTACAGACACTGAGTGCCTAGCTGCTGCACTGCACGCGATGCGGCCAAAGACGAGACAAACGGACGCGCGGACACTTGCCCTCTTCTCGCGTCTTGCCCGCCTGCCCTCGTCTCGTCCTTTCATGGTACGGTCGCTCCTCCTCCTCCTCCTCCTCCCCCTCCTCCTCCCCCTCCTCCTACTCCTCCTCCTCCTCCTCATCCTCCTCCTCCTCCTCCTCTTCCTCCTCCTCCTCTCCCTCCAGACAGTGATACGGGAACGAGAGCGAGAGAGAGAGAGAGAGAGAGGGAGAGACTCGATGGAGCAGCGAGCCCTGTGAAATTACAAGGTTTGCGAAACAAGAAGACGACGAGCCCTGTGATTTCCTTGGGGTACTCATGTTTTTTGTGATGGGAGTCCCAGAAGCCATGTGTCCACACTGCAGCCCTCCAGGGCGTTGGAATCCCAACATGCAAATGACATCACATGGCTCTTGGCATTCGGGTCACGGAAATCAGCACCATCCTGATGGCATCGCAAGACTCGGCGCCCCCTTGTCGCGGAAACCTTGTGATGTTCTGGGTTCTTGGGATGAGAAGCCCAACAACAATGTGATGTCATGAGTCTATATTTATTGGAGAGTTTGATATCTTCCAACGGTAATCGACGCTGCAGCCCCCCAGAGCTCCGAATCCCAGAAATACCAAGCATCAAACTGACGCCGCGCCGTTCCTGGCATTCTCACTACAGAAACTAGCATAAGCCAAGTGAAATCACAAGATGTGGCACCCCGTTGCTCAGCAAGCCTTTTGACTTGATCCTGGACTTTTGGGATCCAGGGCCCTGGAGGGCTGGAACGCGGATTCTTTCTGGCGGGTATACATTCACAAAAAATAAGCACATGGCATCACATGATTTCTGGATCCCAGAAATCAGACACATCCCGTGCCCCCTTATTTCGCAAACCTTATAATTTCACAGGGATCGCTGCTCACTCGAGTCTCTCCCTCTCTTTCTCTCTGTCTCTCTGCCTCGTCGGAAGAGGAGGAAGAGACGCGCGTAAAGAAAGGTGGAGGAGAAGGAGGAGCAGCAACAGCAGGACCGCAGTAGCAGGAAGAGGAGGAAGGAGAGCGCAATAGGAAGAGGAGGATCAGAAGGATGAGGACGCAGAACAGGAGGAATAGGAGCGGGATAACGAGGGGAAACGAAAGGAACGGAAGAGGAGAGACGAACACCGTCAAAATAATGGAATACGATCAATGGGGATTGGGCGGAGGAGCCGTCCACGCATTTTTCGATGTACAGATGGGACAATCGCAGAACAGCCAAGCGAAAACTACGAGACAACCACGAGTCAACCACGGGACAACCAGGGGATACCCGCGGGCCGACCACGAGGACACCCACGGGACACCCCGCGGGACACCCGCGGGGCACCCGCGGGACACGCGCGAGACACCCGCGGGACATCCGCGGGACGACCACGGGGCAACATCGGGGCAACCGCGGGGCAACCGCGGGGCCACAGCGGGACGACCACGGAGCAAGCGCGCGGCCATTGTGGGCACGCCACGGGACAGCCACGGGGGCAGCCACGGGATCATCCCCGCGCACGCCCCGGGCGTCCGCCCCGATTCCTTCTGGCGCGACCTGGGCTCAGCCGATCCGGGAACTCGCGCTGCGCCGCCTCGCCCACGCCGTGGCGCCGCGGCCTCGCGCGCAGCGACGAGGCGTAGAAAGTCAGGAGGCAAGAGAAGGGGCGGCAAGAGGCGAGTCGAGAGGCGTGCAGTCGGAGGTATAAGATCGAGGTCCGTTCGGGAGGGTACCCTACTTCTTTTCGTTTTTGTTGGACTTTCTTCTGCATATTGGGGAGGGTACCCTTGGACGTTCTGTTTGTTTTGGCCGACTGAGGGTCTCATGTTCTTGAGGGATGTTCTTCTGGCCCAGGTTCGACTGTAGAAGAGAGCGGCGGACGCGCGCGGCTGGTCCCTCAGAAGGGGCAGTCGCCTCAGTCGCCTCGCCAGCACTCACGGCATGAGCCGAGACCGAAGCCGATTTCCCGGCTGGGTGGCTCCCTCCCACGTCGGTCTCACCCCCCAACTTGCAACAGCGGCCGAAGCCGCCCTGAAGAGCAGCACATGTGTCTTGCCGAATCGAAGGTGTTGTCGCCTCACACCAGCGCGGTATTTGGTTTGAGGGAGGCGTTCGACGGACCGGTGACCAAAACGACGTGCCGAAGGGAATGTATGTGCCCGATGTCACACCAGCGAGCCACAGTTATGAGTGCCCCAACGTGGGTTCCACGATACCCGTGGCGAGAGCACGCGGTAGGGCGGGAGTTACGCAATGAGGGGCTTTATGCTTCAGGATTTCGGTGTCAGGGGGTTGGGCTTCGCTTGATTGAAAAAGAAGGCCCAGTCACGGTGAACGCAAGGAGAAAGCAGGATTTGGGCAGCTTGAAAGTGCAACAGCGGCATCGTACAAAAAATGGGGCGCCTCGTACACACGCTAGAGACGACACAGATTGGCAAGTGTTGCTGCTCAAGTTCAGGGGGGGTATCTTTTCCGGTGCGCGCTTCTCCTCATCTCTGCCTCCTCCTGTTGCTCCTGCTTCCCCTCCAGACTGCTCTTCATCCATGCGCCGCCTGGCTCATCAGGAAGACGATTTCGTTCTGCCGCACCACACCTACGACGTCCACAAGGCCGCCCCGTCGATGATCTGGTCCCCCCTGCCAGAAGCGCGCTCTGCACTTCTGACAGGGTCCGCGCACTCTGCCCTTCCCTTTCCTCCGTCGCACTCTTCATCCTCGTCTTCCCCTGTGGCGCCCGAGGGGGTGCGAAGCTAACCGCGCTCCTCACATCGCGGATTGGGTTGGAAAGGCGTCCTTTCCCGCGGCGGCGGAGGGAGTGACGATAGCCATGCGCCGCGGGCGCGATGCGCAAAATTGGGCGGCCTAGGTCCCCATGTGCCCCGGAAGTCTGCTGCACTGCCTCTCGTCCTGCCCTGCGGGGGTTAGACGGGCTCTAGCCTCTGTGCCCCCCCTCCCCCGCGGTGTCGTGGCGGTGCTGTGGTGTGACATGGTCGTGGCGTTGTTGTCGTGGCCGAGTCCTGCCAGCGCCGTGTCGCAACATCGAAGAGGAAGGAGGGGAAAGAGGGAGGAGGAGGAGGAGGAGGAGGAGGAGGAGGAGGAGGAGGAGGAGGAGGAGGAGTAATGAAAGGGAAGAGGAGGAAGAGGAAGAGGAGGAGGAGGAGGAGGAGGAGCAGGAAGTCATCAAGGTGGCGTCGGGAGGTGGCAAGTGTGGCGCACACCGGGTGCGGCGCATGCGCGACCTCGCGCGGCACGAAAGCGACGCGAGTGCCCCGGAGCGTGAGTCATACGTGCAAAGCGAGGGCGAGGCGCGGAGCAGGGGCAAGACATGTTCTCGCCAGAGGTGCCTGGACCGCCCTCCTCCTCCTCCTCCTTGTTTCTCCTCCGCTTCTTCTACACCGCGTCCCAGTCCTGCGCTCTCCTCTTCCTCCTTTCTCATCCCTGTCGCCATCGCTCTGCGCCCTCCTGCTCTTCGGCCTCCCTCCCCCACCCTTCGCCCTCATCTGATCCTTTCCCTCTTCCTCCCATCTTCCTCATCTCTATTGCTCGCCCTGCTGTTTCCCTCCATCATCCACCTCCCACGCATGACGCTCATTATCAACACCATCACCAGCATCAATATCACCATCATCACCATCATCATTCTCATCATCCTCATCATCACCATCACCACCATTACCATCACCACCACCATCCTCATCATAATCCTCATCATCAGCAGCATCATCATCGTGACCATGCTGGTTTGAGTGAACAACTAAAGTGCACAGGAGTGGCTACGAGTCCTGTGCGATGGTGGGCAAAGCATATACTATGCTTGCCTTCGAGGTGCGACGGCTTCAGGCCGCGATCAAGCAAAGGGCCTACCTGCGCTACTGCTGCGGCGAGTGCTGAATTGAAATACGAGCACGACCACAAAGAGGCTCAATGGCAGGCGCACAACTGGCATCGCAAACATCATGACATTTCTGCAGTTCCTGAACGGTACAGTTGGATGACGCTGAGACGCGTTCGTGATATTCTTCCTCGCAGAGTCTATGAAGCCCGTCTTCGTTCGACTCGAAATGCAAGCCGGTGGAGGTACATGCAGGGGTCTACCTGGCGTTTTGCTGGACCTCGTCCTGGTGCTACTGATTGTGATCTTCGCGCAGATGCTCCTGAATTTGCTCCTGAGTGTGCCCTTCTTCCTGTGCAGAAGAAGGCCTTCTACTCCCACGACTCCGAATCAGACGAACACGGGGTTGCTGACGTCTCTGGTGGCCGTGACCCTCCGCTGGTTCTTCCGTCGACCATCTTGGCCACCGGTTCGATTAATTGTGGGTTCGCTTCTTTTGACCACGGCGACTTCTCCTACCTCGGGTACGATGTCTTGGGGTACCTGCAGTCCCTCAGCTCTAATGTCGATGACATGTGCGAGCAGCTCACCACCCGAGCGACAGACCTTCAGGCACATCTTGACTCCCGTGCTCATGGTTTTCATTGCTCGTTGCATGAGAGTGCCGACGTCATCGTCGCTCGTGCCGGCGCGATCGAGAAGAGGCATGACATGTTTTCGAGCACGTGGACATGCGCCTTCACGTCCTCCAGGAGTCCCTAAACAGCCAGCAGGTCGAGTCTTATTCCCTCTGTTCCCCATGTTCTGTGGACGTCTCTGTGTTCGATGACAAGTTGAACATGCACGAAGAGCACCTAAGTTCCCTTGACGTTCGTGTCAATGCATTTCGTGAGCGTGACTAGACCATGGTTCCTCTTTTTCTTGCTGATCTTGAAGCAAGGGCTAAGGCGGAGTATCCAGGACCTCGCCGTCTTACCTTCTGGGAGGAGCATGACAAGATTCGCGGTCTCGAGTACGATATGGCCGCCCTGCAGGTGTCGATTTCCAGTCTCTCGTCAACCCTGAATGCTTACACTACTACCATACGTGCTGACCTCATGGACGTTGTGAACCGCTTGGACGTGGATACCTGTGCACGCTTGGCTACTGTCGTGGACGAGTGGCATCAGGCGCGCTCCGAGGTCAACGCCCTCGCCAAGAATACGCACTCCATGATCGCGGAGTTCACTGAGGCGGCTGGTCCCGCCCGTCTCCACCATGGTCTCCGTGATGTTGCCATGCGATCAGACATGCTCGAGTCCAGGATCTCCGAGCTTCATAAGACGGTCGCGGCCAACAGGTCGAGTGACACTACAGGGATCATGGATGAGTACATGCGCGTGCAGCTCCATTTCTTTGTCAGTGGAAGCATCGCCGCCTTTCACGCTGATTGGGAGCCGAAGTTCAACGACAAAGTTGCCTGAATGATCGCGTCCGCTCTCTCTCTCTCTCTCGTCTCCTCCTTGCCGGCCCCCCCTCGTCCTCTCGATGGCGCTCTATGTCCATGTGCTCTCCTGTCTTGTGGCCCGCGTGCTGCACGCGGTGCCCTGCATTGAACCGTATGGATCAGGCGATTCGTGATCATCGTCATCATCAGCAGCATCATCATCATCAATCGTCATCAGCACCATCACCATCATCACCATCACCATCATCATCAACATCATCGTCTACATTGTCATTAGCATCGTCGACGCCCTCATCGTCCTCATCGTCATCGTCATCTTCATCATCACCATCATCATGGTCACATCCTTTCCACGAGCCGTAAACAATTTTGGTGCAAGCAGATTCGTTGTTCATATCCAGGCGTTGGCGCGCTGCGCAGGGGCCGTTTGTCCCTGAGGGAAGCTGCTGCGACCATGAGCGGAAAGCGAGGAGTGAAGGCCGCCAAGGATCGGGCGGAGGGCGCCAGGGGGGAAACGGGGGGACATAAACAGGGGGGGGGGGACATATACGAGGTGGGGGGGAAGAAGGGAAAGAAGGGGAAAGAGGAGGGAGGAAGGCGCACCCTTTCCCAACCTGGACGCGGAGCGAGTGGCAGTTTCGGGGCCCTCTCTCTTGATCGCCCCCCCCGCCTGCTCCAGGTCACCCGCCGGGGCGCGAAGGTCCTATCGCGCTCCGCCCGCCGCGGACTGGGCCGGGGAGCTGCCCTTCTCCAGGGTGGCGACCCCGTTGCGCGAAGGGAGAGCCCAGCGCCGCGCGCCGCAGGGCGCGGTGCGCGAAGCTGGCCGGCCTGGTCTGCTGTCCTCCTGCTGCGGTCGGTTTGCGCCGCGTTGGCGCGGCGGCGGCCCCAACATTGACGGGCGTTGACGCGCGTCGCTGTTGCGCGGTTTGCGCCGCGTTGGTGCGCGTTGGCGGGCGTCCAGGGTTGAGCGCCGCCAGCGGAGCGGAACCGGCCGCCGTCGAACGATCTGCGCTGTCGGGAGGCCGCGGTCGTTCCAGGTGGAACGATCCACGGGGTGTCAGAGACCAACGCCGACGGCATCGCGATGCGAGCTTGTCGTGACGTTCGCCTGAGAGGAGGTCGACTCGACGTAACAGTGACCCTTCGCCGGAGTGACCTTTGGTGGGGGCCCTGGGGTCCCCCGATCGCTGAACGCGACGCAGTAGTAGCGTCTCGCGCGCTTGTGCTTGGCTAACCCCGCGACCCCCAAAAAGCCGCGCACCGAAGGTCACTCTTACCCAGGGCCACTCATGCGTGTGGCCGAACCTGTCGTAACGGCCGCCCGAGAGGAGGAGAGGAACAGCAAGCTCGAGGTCCCGGAGCACCTCCGGACCTCGATCAAGGAGGGGAACTGCGTCGCCTTTGTGGGCGCCGGCTTCTCGGGGGCCGCCCGCCTGCCGGGCTGGGGGGCCTTGCTGACGGCGATCCTGGAGCGGGGCAAGAACGAGGATCGACGAAGAAAAGCCAGCATGAAGACGTGCCGTCAACGCGCCCAGAAGGACGCGCGCGCCTTCATCTAGGGTGCCCTTGTGTCCTTGCCTCTGCGGCTCGTCCTTTGCCGTTTTCACTGGTCGCCCGCCGCCCAACAAATCCCAACTTCGCCCTCCAAGGGTCTTGCCACCCGTCCTTCACATACGTTTTGACTGTCATCATTCGGAGCTCCGCGCGGAACTTCAAGAGCTTTATGAGTGCAGATTTTTATTTGTGCAAAAGGAGCTGCTGACCAGCCAGATCGTCAAGGACATATCGGGGGTTGCTGAAGGTATCCCTGGCCCAAAACGTCCCAAGCTTTTCGCTCCATTTTGAAGCCCCTTGGACCCTCTGAGCCTCGTGAGGAGTGCTCTGGAGGCCGTGGGGGCCTCCTCAGAAACCTCGGGGGCACCTTGGTCCAGGGACACCTCTGGCAACACCCGAGACATCGAGAAGTTGATCGAGCAGGCAACTGCGAGCTCTTTCGACCGGGCCGCGCAGATCATGGAGGACAAGTGCGGTGGCCGCATGGTCGCCGAGGTGGTGAAGGACATGCTGGCGCCTCCAGGAGACATCCCCGAAGCCATGAAAGAGCGCCTCAGGCTGAAGTGGGGGTGGGAGAGGAGGAGGAGGAGGAGGAGGAGGAGGAGGAGGAGCAGGAGGAGAGGCCGGGGGATTGTGGAATCCCTGTGGGTTTCAGACGATGTTTTACGATCTTTCACGTTGCTCCTCATCATTATTCTGATATTTCCTCTCTCGCTTTCTCTCTCTCTCTCAATCTCTCCCACTCCCATTCCAATTCCATTCCCATTCCCAATACCATTACCATTACCATTCCCATCCCCATTCCCATTCACATTACCATTACCATTACCTTTACCTTTATCTTTACCTTTACCATTACCATTACCATTACCATGGCCATTACCATTGCCATTGACATCCCATTGCCATTGCCATTGCCATTACCAGTGCCATTGCCATTGCCATTGTATTGCCATTGCCAGTCGCCACTCCGTTACCATTACCATTGCCGTTCCCATTACCATTACCATTACCATTACCATTCCCATTGCCATTAGCCACTACCATTACCATTGCCATTATCATTAGCATTACCAACACCATTGCCATTAGCATTACCAACACCATTGCCATTACCATTACCATTACCATTACCATTACCGCTGCCATCACCATTACAATTCCCATTCCCATCACCATTGCCATTACCATTACCGTTACCAGTACCATTGCCATTATCATTACCACTACCACTGCCATTTCCATTCCCGTTCCCGTTCCAATTACCACTACGATTCCCATTCCCATCCCCATTACCATTACCATTACCATTACCATGACCATGACCATGACCATTACCATTACCATTGCCATGGCCATTGCCATTGCCATTGCCGTTGCCATTCCCATTACCATTGCCATTGCCATTACCATTACCATTGCCATCGCCGTTGCCATTGTCATTGCCAGTCGCTACCCCGTTACCATTGCCATAACCATTACCATTACCGTTACCGTCACCATTACCATTCCCAGTACCATTACCATTACCACTGTCATTGCCATTACCATTACCATTGCCATTGCCATTGCCATTCGCCACTACCATCACCATTGCCATTCGCCACTACCATTACCATTACCATTGCCATTGCCATTCGCCACTACCATTACCTTTGCCAGTACCATTACCATTCCGATTCACATTCCCATTCCCAATACCATTACCATTACCATTACCATTACCATTACCATTACAACTGCCATTGTCATTACCATTACCTGTACCTCTACCTTTACCTTTACCCTTACCATTCCCATTTCCGTTTCCACTACCACTGCCATTTACATTCCCGTTCCCATTCCCATTCACATTCCCATTCCCGTTCCCGTTCCCATTCCCAGTAGCATTACCATTACCATTGCCATTGCCATTGCCATGGCCATTACCATTGCCATTGCCATTCCCATTGCCATTGCCATTGCCATTACCATTACCGTTGCCATTGTCATTGTCATTGCCACTGCCAGTCGCTACCCCGTTGCCACTATCATTACCGTTACCATTACCAGTACCAATACCATTACCTCCTGTCGTTACCATTACCATTCGCATTGCCATTGTCATTGCCATCAGCTACTACCATTAACATTGCCAGTACCATTTCCATTGCCATTCCCATGACCATTACCATTACCATTATCATTTCCATTACCATCACCATTACCTTTACCTTTACCTCTATCCTTGTTCCTTATTTGAATCTACCCCCACCTACCTCGTATTCCGGCCGATAGCGGCCCAATCCGGGACCTCCCATCCGGACTGTAAAAAATCAATACAAAGTGGCCGTTTTTCTTCTCAACATCGTCTTTCTTGTCGTCGACGATGCGAAAAGCGTGGCAGGAATGGGGCGCGGCGCACATCGCGCGCGGCAGTCAATCTGGGCCCGCCCATCCTGAGTGTAAAAAATCAATACAAAGTCTTCGTTGTTTCATCTCACCATGGCCTGCCTTGTCGCCGACGGTGCGAAATATGTGGCAGCAGTGGGACGCGGCGCACATATGGGACGCGGCGCACATCGCGCGCGGCCGTCGATCCGGGCCCGCCCATCCTGACTGTAAAAAATCAATACAAAGTCTCCGTTTTTCCTCTCAGCACGGCCTGCCTTGTCGCCGACGGTGCGAAATATGTGGCAGGAATGGGACGCGGCGCGCATCGCGCGCGGACGTCCATGCGGGCTGCGGGCCCTCCCATCCTGATTGTAAAAAAACAATACAGAGTTGCCGTTTTTCCTTTCATCATGGCCTGTCTTGTCGTCGACGATGCGAAATGCGTAGCAGGAATGGGGCGCGACGCACATCGCGCGCGGACTTCTGGGGCAACCCCAAGGCGGGAGGGGCCACCTTACCTGTCAGAAGCAATGCCATGCTGATTTTCGCTTGCCCACATAGCTGTTCTTGTCGTCCACCCCGCAAAAGTGCATGGCAAGAATTGGGCGCGGCACACCCCGCCCCGCTCGAAGTGAATGAAATTACCTTCTCGCTTGGGCGCCGAGCGAAATTTTCTTAAAGTTGCGCTCCCGCTTTGGCTCGGCGCACGTTTTTAGCTCGCCAATTCATTGGGCGCCGGGGCGTTCCAGGAGGCCCTGGGGTGACGAATGCCTGGGAGGTTTTTGCTTGTTCAGGCTCTTGGAGGGCCTCCTGAGTCTCCCCGCGGTTTCTTGGCGCTACGGCCGTCTGGAGGCCATCTTGGGCGTCTTGGAACGATCTTTCGGCGACTCAGGGCTACTACTACTACTACTACTACTACTACTACTACTACTACTACTACTACTACTACTACTACTACTACTACTACTACTACTACTACTACTACTACTACTACTACTACTACTACTACTACTACTACTACTACTACTACTACTACTACTACTACTACTACTACTACTACTACTACTACTACTACTACTACTACTACTACTACTACTACTACTACTACTACTACTACTACTACTACTACTACTACTACTACTACTACTACTACTACTACTACTACTACTACTACTACTACTACTACTACTACTACTACTACTACTACTACTACTACTACTACTACTACTACTACTACTACTACTACTACTACTACTACTACTACTACTACTACTACTACTACTACTACTACTACTACTACTACTACTACTACTACTACTACTACTACTACTACTACTACTACTACTACTACTACTACTACTACTACTACTACGACTACGACTACTACGACTACGACTACTACTACTACTACTACTACTACTACTACTACTACTACTACTACTACTACTACTACTACTACTACTACTACTACTACTACTACTACTACTACTACTACTACTACTACTACTACTACTACTACTACTACTACTACTACTACTACTACTACTACTACTACTACTACTACTACTACTACTACTACTACTACTACTACTACTACTACGATTTCTACTACTACTACTACTGCTACTACTACTACTACTACTACTACTACTACTACTATTACTACTACTACAACCACTACTACTACTACTACTACTACTACTACCACTACGCGCCAGCACCCAGTTGCGCCAGCATTGTTTCTTATGTTGTGGGAGGGCGGAACGTGTCCGTTGTTCCTTTCAACATGGCCAGTCTTGTCGTTGACGTTGCGAAATTCGTGGCGGGGATGGGACGCGGCGCACATCCCGCGCGGACGTCAATGCGGTGTCCTCGGGTATCCTCCACTCGCACTGAAATGCCCGCGCAACCCCCAGTTGTGCCATCACTGTTTCTTATGTTGTGGGAGGGCGGGTGGGAATGGGCATGCCATGCTCGACTCGCTCGAGCTGGCTAGCTTGACCTTTACCTTTACCCTTACCCTTATCATTCCCATTTCCGTTGCCACTACCACTACCATTTCCATTCCCGTTCCCATTCACATGCCCATTCCCGTTCCCATTCCCACTACCATTGCCATTACCATTGCGCTTACAGTTGCCATTGTCATGGCCATTGTCACTGTCATTGCCACTGCCATTGCCAATCCCATTGCCATTACCGTTACCGTTGCCATTGTCATTGTCATTGCCATTGCCAATCGCTACCCCGTTACCATTACCATTACCGTTGCCATTACCATCACCATTGCCATTGCCATTGCCATTCGCTACTACCATTACCATTGCCAGTACCATTTCCATTCCCATTACCATTACCATTACCATTACCATGACAATTACCATTACCATTACCATTACCATTACCGCTGCAATTACCATTAGAATTCCCATTGTCATTGCCATTTCCATTCCCAATACCATTACCGTTTCCATTACCATTACCATTACCAGTGCCATTACCACTACCACTATCATTTCCATTCCCGTTCCCATTACCATTACCATTACCATTACCACTGCCATTGCCATTACCGTTACCATTACCTTTACCTCTACCCTTACCTTTACCCTTACCATTACCATTGCCATGGCCATTACCATTGCCATTGTCATTGCCATTCCCACTGCCATTACCATTACCGTTGCCATTGCCATTGTCATTGCCTCGCTACCCCGTTACCACTATCATTACCATTACCAGTACCATTACCATTACCACTGTCATGACCATTACCATTACCATTGCAATTGCCATTGCCATTGCCATTGCCACTCGAGGATTTCAGTAGGAATCATTCAATGGAGGGTTTCAGTAGGAATCCACAGGTGGAGGATTTCAATAGGAATCATTGAGTGGAGGGTTTCGATAGGAACCCTTCTGTCGAGGATTTCACTGTGAATCCTTCTTATGGGGGCGTTCAATAGGAATCATTCTAGGGGGGAGGGCAGATGTGGCCACGTCGCGTTCCTTTTTTTCTCCCGAAAATTTTTTTTTTTTGCTGGGGGGGGGCGCCAGGAGAAACAAAAAAAGGCAGAGAGGTAGGAGGAGGGGGAGAGGGAGGAGGAGGAGGAGGAGGAGGAGGAGGAGGAGGAGGAGGAGGAGGAGGCGGAGGCGGAGGAGGAGGAGGAGGACGACACAGAGCAGAGTTTGCACAGAAACAGTCGCGAACTCAGCGCGAAAGCCTCGCGCGCGCGCGCTTTGGAACCACAGGGACTCCACAATCCCCCGTTCTCGAGCAGGAGGAGGAGGGGAAGGAGGAGCTTCTTGAAGTTTCCGCAACGCTCAGCGAGCCAGAGGGGGAGAGAGAGAGAGAGAGAGAGAGAGGGATAATGTCTTTCACAATTCCCCAAGCAGTGTTTGCACCTAGGGGTTCTTGCTCCTCTTCTCAGAAACTGGGCCTGTCTGCGGGCCTGGCGGCCCCGCCCCATGTTTGTTGAATGAAAGGCTTGTCTGCGGGCCTGGCGGCCCCGTCCCCGTCCGTCCCCTCACCCCAGAGCTTACACCACGAAGCTTGCACCATGTAGACTGCATTTCACAGCTTGCACCACATAGCTGACACCACGCAGATTGCACCATGCAGGTTCCGCAACACCGGATGCATCGCATAACTTGCACCACGTAGCATACACCACATAGTTTGCACAGCATAGCTTACACCACCCAGCTTGCATCACATACTTCACACCACATAGCCTGCACTACGTATATTGCACTACGTAGCTTACTCTACATAGCTTGCACCACATAGTTTGCACCACATTGCTTGCACCACCTAGCGTGTATCACATACTTCACACCACGTACATTGCACTACGCAGCTTGCTCCACTTAGCTTGTATCACATAGCTTTTACCACACAACTTGCACCACGCATCTTGCACAACGTAGATTGCACCGCATAGCTTACACCGTAAATATGTATAGCTACATCTATGCTCATTCACACATATATGCGGATGGGTATGTACACATATGTGTGCATACATATATATATACACATATATAGAGAGGGAGAGACGGGTATATACATATAGATAAATATCTATACAACGCGCAGCGATAGAGAGCGATATAAATATATAGAGAGAGATGCATTGTTGCCAGCGTCGCTTGCAGCGAGAGCACGGAGCCATCGCGACACGGCGCGCCGTGCGGACGTCGCATGTTGCGCCGAGCACGTGACTCAGGGCGGGTGCCAGGGAGGGGGCATAATGCGCAGCCAGCGTGATTGAAACGAGCTCTGGTCCAAGCTCGGAAGGGGCTCTGTGGTCACTTAGGTCTGCATTCGCCCCCTTGCAGCTATGCTAGAGACCCCTTGGGATTCGCTGGGTTTGGGCACGCGCGGAGTCGCTTTGTCGGACGCAGCGGCTGATCGAATATGCGACGAATTGCGAAACCTACCCCCACGGGTCCAAATATCGGACACCACCGCTGATATGCATTTGGCTGCATATTCCGTTCAAGTTCTGAGCCCAAGCCCGTTCTTCAGACATCTGAGTTGCAAGGTTGGGCTTCTTATGTGGTTGCCAATCGAAGCAGCGGTTCAACACGGGACGCCCAGGTCACCCCAAGAGGTGCGAGGATGATCGCGATTCGCGCGTCGCGGCCTGGGCATGATGGTTGCCCTTTTCCACGGGGCGGCACGGGGGGCGCGAAGGTAACCGTTGGTTGCACTTCGCTGAGCGCGATGCGCGAACCGAGGTGGCCCAGGAGAGAGGGCCACCGTGACGCCGATACGCCACGGGACGGAGGGGGAGAGGAGAGCGGGCCCGAGCACGCGCGCTCGGCCGCCCTGGGGCTCGGGGCGGCAGCGGCGCTGCCGTCGCGCGCGCGGTGGTGAGAGGGGCCCCTGGGCATCCGCAGGGCTTTGCTGCCTCGATGCGCCCGTTTCGAAACGCATCGCGTACCGTGCTGAACACGTCCGTGGCACACACGAATCCGCTGCTTGCTGGCTCAGCGTGTCGGCCCACGTTTTGGCGGACGTATGGCGTCATACCTACGTTTTCGGTGTGCGTGTCGAGCTAGCTCCGTACCAATACGCTACGTGTGGCGTGTCGCGTATAGGGGCAGCTAGGGGTCACCTGCAGGGGCGCGAAGAGCGTCGCGCCTCGCGCGTCGCGGCAGCTGCGCCTCTCCAAGGTGGCGTCGCGAGGGCGCGGAGGCGACCGCTCGTCGCGCATCGCGCGGTGCGGCGGGCGAAGTCGGGCTGCTTTGCTTGGCAGATGCAGGCCTGCTGGCAGATTAGCACCATCAACGTCTGCGCACAAGAGTTCAGACTACGCTCAAGGTAGGCACTGAGCATCCCACTTTTTCGCAGTGATCCACCCGAGGGCCTTGACTTGACCGTCCCGTTCAGTGAAGACCCCCCAAGTGCGGTGGGCCAGTGGCCAACTGGGCATAAGTTCAGAGCGCGTATGAGGTCACCGCTCGGTCACACAGGCATCGGCTGTGTGCGGCGCTTCGCGAGGTCTTCCAACTGAGGGGCCCTCTAGGTCAGCCGCGGGGGCGCAACGATAATCGCGCTTCGTGCGTCGCGGCCTGGATTGGAGAGTTGCCCTTCTCCAGGACGGGCGACGGCGAGAGCGCAATGCGCGAAGCTAATCTCGCGTCGCGCATCGCGGGGCGCGATACTGAAAGCTAGGCGAGCTACGGTCAGGAGCTCAACTTTTGGATTGCGTGTCGCTCCGCAGGTTCTGGCCCACTACGCGTTGGAGCGATAAGCTATCCACTTCGCGGTCCCGAGGCGTCCACATGCCGAGCTTTGCCAAGCCGCCCGCCCCGCGGAGCGGAGCGACACGCTATCTGCTCGCAGGGCATAGCCTGTCGCCAGGGCCACCGTGGCGACACGCTGTCCAAACGTCACCGACCGCAGCCTTTCTAGCCAGGCTAGCGGTGGCTTCGCGCCGCACTACTCGGACCGCTGCCGTAACATGCGGCAGCTCGAGGGAGGCAGCTGTGCGGCTGGGCCTCGCGGGCCGCACCCGGATTTCCGACCGTGCTCGCTCTCAAGGTCTGCCGGATGCCGTGGCAATGGTCCGAGCCACGATGGTTTGAGCCAAAACGGCTACTGCGCCGGAGGGTGCTAAGTCCGTGCGGGGTAAGTCCGTACGGAGTGTTCGGCCTCCGTCTGGACTTCGCCGTTCCTGACGGCGAGGAGGAAGGAGGGCATTGATTTAGCACTGACAGGCGTCCCTATTGCCCATAGGGTAGTAAGCCTTCTCCCCGCTGTCCGACTTACCTCCCTAGGTAGGAATAGAAGCAAGTTCAGTCGGGTTCTGTGGCACATGTGCCCACCCAGGGGCAGCGTGCGGGTGGCGTTAAGGAACCTTGGATGATTCGACAGCACCTCAGGCTGATTCACAGCATCCCCTTCTCCGCAATCCTCACTACCAACTTCGACAGCTTCCTGCCAGGCGTCCCAGCCGCGAGCCCCTCGTCGAAGACCGTTATGCGGAAAATCTTGCGCGGGAGCCCGCTCTCGTTGTCGGAGCAGATCATGCGCGAGATCATGATGGCGGAGAGCGTAAAGGAGTCTCTCGGAACTGATCTCTTTGGCTTCGACGACGACGAGGATGAAGAGGGCGAGGACGACGACTGCGGCGACACGGATATGACCTTGCAGAAGCGCTTCGAAGCGATGAGCAGTGCCATATTGGAGCACGATGGGGATGGGGAGGAAAAGGCGGAGAGCGAGGATAGCGATTGCGACAGCGAGGACGACTATGACCCCGCAGAAGATATCGGCCCAACGCCTATCATCCAATTGCACGGGTCTGTCGCCTCAGATGAGTGGCTGGAGGAGCCAGGGCTCGCCTTCACCCGCGAGGGTTACCGCAAGTTGCTGCATGGGAACGAGGCTTACACCAAGTTCATGACATCTCTGATGGCAGCCAAGACTATACTGTACATGGGCTTCTCCTTCTCCGACGAGTACCTCAATGAGATGCGCTCGTCCGTGATGATGATGATGCAGCAGCACGAGGACGGCGAGGAGAAGAAAGAGAAACCGATCGCGTACGGAATTGGCATCAACATTGAATGGCTTGCAGCAAATTCCGCCACCGTGCCAGCGCAGACATCTGTGCGGCGACAAGGCAGGTCAAGCTTAAGCGGCCTCCTGCGGCGTGCCACGCCAGCTGCAGAAGAGCTTTTTCTCTTGGGCGCTCGTGTGACAGCCCCTACTCCTTGATGAGGCTCGAGAGAGACGTAGTATGTGACACGCCCTCCCGCAGGCTCGAACATTCTGCGGCATTAGACAGCCGTTTTCCCGAAGACCCGGAAAGCTGTGATGCGTGGCGTTTCTTCCCCTGGACCCAGAGCGTCGCAACACTGAAGAAGCGGAAGCAGCGCTCACATTTTCAATGGAGAGGCAGAGGAAGAGCGGTCTGCTGGGCAAGTCGCTGCGGGCTGGGCCCTTGACGGCGCACGGAAGCGCCTAGGCAGACCGAGTGAAACGGACACTGCACAGCATCTTGTGATGCGAAATGTGCGTTACTTTCCCTGTAGCCCGGGGGGGGGGCGTAACATGTGTCATCGGAGAGTTCGACTCCTCGGGAGTTTGTTGGAGGCCTCTTGAGGGGTGCTCTGGGTTTCTTGGGCGCCTGTTGGGGGCCAGCAGGCCATATAGGAGCTTTTCGCGGCTGTCTGGGGCGGGGGGGGGGCAGTTCTGGGCGGTCTGGGGGCCATCTCGTGGACTTCTTGGGGCGCCTTGTGTTGGTGCTTGGCCTTTCGGAGTCGTCTTGAGGCGGCAGTGGGGCCATGTCATGAGGTGTTTGCGCCGTCCTCCAGACATCTTGGGCCAGATGGGGCCTCTCGAGGACCGCTCTGATGGATCATCGTTGGGTGTATACTGATGTCTCGTGTGGAATCCTTGGTGTCATGAGTAATGGCATGCATATATGTACAAATATTTATATATCTGTAGATATATGCATATGTACTTACATAGAGTGAGCCAGCGTGGACCCCAAGCAGTAGGTTATTGCACTGTGCGGTGCAATCTATGTGGTGCAGTTCACTTTGACCGTCTTGAAGCTGTCCTCTCTACTGCTCGTGCAAACATCCCACCCTCCCACCCGCAACTTGGTCGCAAGACCTCTTAAGACAAGACCGTGACGGTAGGTACCACATGGCACTTGGCCACGACACCGACGCCGACGACGACAGCGACACCGACGACGACGGCGCCGCTGACACCGACTACGACGACACCGCCGACGTCGACGACGAAGACGACAACGACGCCGACACCGACGACGACGACGAAGACGACGACGACGTCGCCAACGAAGACGAGAGATGAGGGAGGACGACGACGGCGACAACGACGACAACGACGATGGAGGAGGGAAGAAGGCGACTCGAACGACGAAGGAGGAGGAAGGACGGCGACGCCGACGACGACAACGACGAGGGAGGTGGGAAGACGACGACGACGACAACGACGACGACGACGCCGACGACGGACGACGACGACGACGTCGGAGGAGGACAACGACGAGGGAGGAGTGAAGACGATGACGACGACGACGACGACGACGGCGACGAAATAGGAGGGACAACCACGAAACGCCGACGAAGACGACGAGGGAGGAAGGACGACCACGGCGACAACGACGACGGAAGCGACGACGACGCCAAAACGACGACGACGACGACGAGGAAAGACAGAAGACGACGACGGCGACGACGACGACGACGACGACGAGGGAGGAAGGAGGACGACGACGACGACGACGACGCAAGAGCGCGCGCGCACGCTTTTGTTGGAAATCCGTGTTGCGAAACCTTGTGTTTTTGTAGGATTTTTGGACACGCGATTTTGAAATCCTTCCGAAACCGAGAACTTCTGAAGGATTTCAGCATACGCGCGCGACGACGCGCGCGTCTGCACTTCGTCCCATTGTTTGCAGAGGATTCTCGCGACCGCACACGCGCAAGGGCGTTCGACAGATTTCGACATGCGCGCGCGAAGCCCGTCCGTTAGCGTTTTGTGAAAATCTTGAAAAACCTATGGTTTTCTGAAGATTTCGCAAGAGCTCGCGCGTAAGCTTTTTTAGCAAATCAGTGTGGCGAAACCATGTGTTTTTGTATGTTGTTTGGCAACTCGATTGCGAAATCCTTCCGGCACCGAAGGTTTTTGAAGGATTTCGGCATGCGCGCGCGACGACGCGTGCGCGTGCACTTCGTGTCGATGTTTGCAAGGGGTTCGCGAAAAAGTGCAATGTTAGAACAACAAATGTCACCGCATAGTGTTTTTTACAAGGGAACCTCAGGGGGGTGAACCCCGTTTGGCTGGGATTGTACGATTTCATATTTAGGATGGACGAGTGTGCAGAATATATATATATATATATATATATACACATACATATATATATATATATATATATATGTGTGAAATCATACTATCCCAGGGGGTACCGATAAGTCCGGTGGGGGGTAGAGTCTATTCTCTTTTTAGAAAGGATAATTAGCTTGCCGAACTTGAAGTTGTCAAATCCACTGCTCGCGCAATCATCCCACCCACCCACCCGCAACTTGGTTTGCAAAACCCATGCAGGAACGATTGCGATGAGTGCTTGGCGTTGGCTGGTGCATCTCTGCGGCCGCGCTAGCCCGCGCATGCTCGCGCGCGCGGCCAGCTACTTTGGCGCGGCCGACGCGAACGCGGTGGCGCTAACCGCTCGGCACATCCCAGCGGGCACTTCAGTGCGAGTCGGCGATTTGGGTGGGCGCGATATCATGGCAACGTCGACGACGGTAGACACGATGCTGATAGTAGCGATGCTGGTGGCGATACTGAAAGCGACGACGGAGCAGCCAGTGACGGCGCCGATGCTGATCACGCCGACGACGATGACGGCGTCTTCGCGTCGGTGGTGAAGGTTTCGGAAGGAATTCGCAATGCGCGCGCGCGGCTGACGCGCGAGAGTGGCTCGCATGGTATTATTTGACACGGGTCGTGCCACCCCAGCACGCGCGCAAGAGCGTTCGACGACGCCGACGCCGCCGACGACGACGACGCTGTGTCTATATTGATGATGTTCTCTCCACTGCTCGTGCAAACATCACATCCTCCCACCCGCAACTTGGTTGCAAGACCTCCTAAGACCGTAGGTACCACATGGCACTTGGCAGCGCCACCGGCGCCGACGACGACAGCGATGACGACGACGACGCCGACGACGCCTACGACGACTCTGACGATGACTCCAACGACTTCGACGACGACGACAACGACGACGACGACGACACCGACGACGACGACGACGCTGACGCCGACGACGAAGACGACGATGATGACGGCGACGACGACGACGACGCAGACGACGCCGACGCCGACGACGACGCCGACGACGACGACGCCGACGACGACGATGACGACGAAGACGACGACGAAGACGACGACGGCGACGAAATAGGAGGGACGACAACGAGACGCCGACGACGGACGACGACGACGACGACGACGACGAGGGAGGAGGAAGGACGACCACGGCGACAACGACGACGGAAACGACGACGACGCCAGAGAGGACGACGACGGCGACGACGAGGAAAGGCAGGCTGCTCACGCCGACGACGATGACGGCGTCTTCGCGTCGGTGATGAAGGTTTTCGAAGGAATTCGAACTGCGCGCGCGGCAGACGCGCGAGAGTGGCCCGCATGGTTTTATGACACGGACCGTGCCATCCCAGCACGCGCGCACGGGCTTTCGAACGATTTCGACATGCGCGCGCGCGAAGCCCGTTTGGTAGTATTTTATGAAAATGTTGAAAACGCATGGTTTTCCTAGGAATTCGCAAGAACGCGCGCACGCTTTTGTTCACAGTCCGTATTGCGAACCCAATTGTATTTTATATGTTTTTTGGACAGTAGATTTCGACTTCCTTCCGAAATCTGCAGTTTTTTGCTGGATTTCGGCATGCGCGCACGACGACGCGCGCGTGTGCACTTCGGTTCATTTTCTGCAACGGATGCTCGCGATGGCACGCGCGCAAAGGCAGGCGTTCGAACGATTCCGGCATGTGCGCGCGCGAAGCCTGTTTGGTAGCATGTTATGTCAATGTTGTTAAACCGATGGTTTACTTAAGAATTCGCAAGAGCGCGCGCACGTTTACATGTACATATATATATATATATGTATGTATGTATGTATGTATGTATATATATATATATTCATATGTTGTTTGATTTTTGATATGAAAAAACAGAAATGATGCGACACCTTGTGTCTTTACATGTTTCTGGACACTTGATTGTAAAATCTCTCCGAAACCTAAGGTCTATGAAGGATTGCGGCATGCGCGCGCGACAACGCGCGTTTGTGTGCACTTCGTTTTTTATGCGCAAGGGATTATTGGCAACGTATGATTTTGATAAACGAGTGCGCGCGCAAAATATTTGTTGCAGGGGGTGGCGGGGGGGCGATGCCTGCCCCCCTGGGATAGTGTAAATTCATGTTTCGGATGGACGATGGTGCAAAATCATACGGGACGACGGGCGATAGGACCCAGCACGGGACCCCCCGCCCTGGACGACGGGCGCGAGTCGAGGGGACTCTGGGAGGGCTGCCCGCGCGCGGCGGAGCGCCCCGCGCAGATGCCCCCGAAAGGCAGCGGGGCCGCCCCCCGGATAAAAGTGGAGAAGAAAGAACGAGCGCGCGGCGTGAGTTTCCAAGGGCGGCTTCTGCCAAAATATGGTTCCTCTTTGCATGGGCCATTACAGGGCTCCCAGGCTGCGGTCGCGGCGGATCGGGAGCGGATTGCGCGCGCCCCAGACCGGCGCGCGGAGCTCCACCGCCTGCCGCAAGAGTCCGTGCAGGTCGAGGGGGGGGGCCCGCAGACGCCGCAGCGCCAGCTGCAGGGCCCAGGTCGGCGCAGGATGACAGGGAAGCGGGCGGCGTCGCCGCGCCCACCCCCGACGCCGGGGCCCCCTCGAAGACGCGTCCACTGACGCCGGGCACTCCTGCCGCAGGCGCGCGCGGCCGGCGGGCCCCTGGGTCGGCGCGCAGCCGGGGGCCGACTCCTCGGACGGT